AGCCTACCCTGAGACAGGTGTCCCGCCTCTTGGTCCAAGCTCGAGCAAGATCTATGACCATGCAGGAAGCTTTCTGGTTGAGAATGCCATCCAACGAGCTCGTTCAGTTGCAGCAACATTGATGGAGAATGTGGCAAAGCATACTGGACTGCGCTTCAATGGTCAGCACCCTTTGTGGACATGGGCATGTAGGCATAGCGCATGGCTTCTCAACAGGTACCAACCGGTGCAGGGAGCGACAGGCTATGCGTTGGTGCATGGGAGACCCTACAAAGGCAAATTGTGTCAGTATGGTGAAGTGGTCTTTGCCTACGCCAAGCCAAAGCAAGGATTCAAAGCAGACCCACACTGGAAGGTTGGCATCTGCCTAGGGAAGAGTGAACTTCAGGATGCTTGGGTCATCGGTGATGGATCCAGAGTTTTCTTGAGCAAGTCAGATCGGCGAGTCGAGGATTCCTGGCAGAGGTATCTTCCATGCTTCAAAGGCTTTGCTGCTTACAGTTTGGAGTACCAGACAAACTTCGGGGGAAGGATTGTTCCGTCGAAACGCTTGGTCATGCTTGAGGGACCAAAGATGAGCTTGACGCTGCCTGGGACTCAAGATGACCTAGAAGGAGATCAAGAAGCCAGAGAATCAAGATCCTATGCAGGCAAGCTTGAAGAGCGAAGAGAGGCGGAAGAAGAAGAGGAGAAAGCCAGAGAGGAGACTGCCGAGCAGGAGGAGACTCTGAGGTGAGACAAGAAGACCAGTTTGGTGGAAGAGCCAGAGTTGAACCTACCGACAGTGATGGCTCCGAGTGTTGACATCCCTATTGCTTCGGTGATAGATGAAGCGAAGAACCAAGCAGGACCTTCAAGACCCAATGCATTCTCCGTACTTGATGCTCCGTCAACCCCGAGGACAACAGCTCAGAAGGTTGGTCAACCAGCTGAAAGCCCGGTTCCTGATGCAAAGAAGCTCAAACCCACTCTGGAGAAGGTGACCCACGGCCATGAAGGTAGTGATCCTGAACCCAAGAGAGCTAAGCAGGATTCAAAGGCTCAGCATGAGAGAAGAGTGTCAGCGACTCAGGTGGGGAACGATGTTTTCTACCATATGGACTCCATCATTGGTGAGGAGGAGATTGTAGCATGGCAGGACGAGATGGATGAGCAAGCAGTTGATGAATTGCCGGATGCTCTATGGTCTACAGCACCCTTAGACAGAGTGCCTCCAGAGCCACCCAGGTGGATTGAGGATATTGCTGATGCTGTTGAAGAGGCAAGATTGCAGAAGCTTGGAGTGTTGAGCAAAATGGACAAACTACAGGCCAGCCATAAGACTCTAACTACTCGATTTGTCAGGGACAAAACATCGCGACAAGGATGGAAGTGGTCCAAAACAGTGGCTGAGGAGATCGAGGCTAGTGGCACGGGAGTATGCCACGGACAAGAGGGATGACATTCATGCTCCTGCAACAGGTGGGCAAGCGCTACGCTTACTACCCCTTCTCTATCTCGTGAAGAAGACGGAGAGCAACTTGGAGGTGAGCAGACCATCTTGGGAAGCCTGGATGTGAAGGATGCCTTCCTTCAAGTGAAGCAGGAGGTACCTACACAGGTGACTACAGCCACCGGCCACTTTGAGGTCTTGAGAAACCTTCCTGGTCAGCGAATTGGTGCAAAGGCTTGTTTGGACCACTTGACAGAATGGCTGAAGAGTAAAGGCTTCAAGTTCTGTCCAGAGAATCTGTGTCTCGGCAAAGCTTCCTCTATGTGTGTGCTGATCCACGTTGACGACATTTTATGTTTAATGAGGTCATACCAGAAATGGAGAGAGTCTTTGACATCTCAGAACAGCACCTGGAGGAGAATGGCAGTAGTTTCCAGTTCTTGCGAAGTATGCCGAGAACATGGTGGAGGCCTATGGGAAGGACAAAGGTCCAGAAGCTCCGGCCCTGAAATTTTGGAACCAGATGGAACCACGCTCCTTGGACTCTATCGGTCCTTGGTTGGTTGTGGAATCTATCTGTCCCAAGAACGACTTGACGTCTCGTACACGGTGAAGGAGCTAGCGGCTACGATGTCCTGTCCTACATCAGCAAGTCTGAAGAAGCTAGGCAAGCTGATTGGGTATCTGAAGCGTACAATGGGCCAACATAGCTTGTTGGAACTACGAGAGCCAGGACATGGATTGGTACATAAGAGCTTCGAGACACGCTGGATTCTGGAGACCTTTTCAGACAGCGATTGGTCAGGAGCAAAAGGGCATCGTCGTTCAACAAGTTCAGCAATCCACATGGTCAGCGGAATGGTGGTTGCATCGTCCTCACGTGGACAAAAAAGTCAGTAAGTCTGAGTTCAGCAGAAGCAGAGTTGAACGCCTTAGTCAGTAGCGCGGCTGATGGCATATACCTTCGGAGACGCCTGGAATTTCTGACAGAAGAGGAGGTTGAGCATTGTATGGTGGACAATTCAGCAGCTCTACACCTTTGCCATCGAAGAGGACCAGGCAAGCTGCGCCATGTATCAGGCAAACTTTTGTGGATCCAAGATGCTGTACTACAGGAACAGCTGAAAGTGATGCCAGTTGGAACGGTGAAGAATGTGGCTGATTTGGGGACAAACCCTTATCCAAGAACCGCATAAATCTGATTCTGAACTGGTGCAACGTCTACAATGGACAAGGAGAAAAGGTTGGCCAAGAAGAGCATGAGAGAAGTGAGAATGAAATGGTCAGCAAATCAAAGATCAACAAACCGGCCAAATTGCTCAATGGCATTTTGCTATTGGAGGGTCTTGAGCATGTGGCTGGCGAGATGATCATTCAGGAGAACCAATGTTCCACGCTGACTATGACGACAACAAGTTCTTCTACACCATGGACGATGTGGGTGATCGTGATCTTCCTGGTGATGATCGCAGGTGGCTTGGCTTTGGCAGGCTACATGATGTGGCAGAAAATCAAGAAGATCACTGAAGAGCTTGAAGAAATGAAGGAAGCCCAACGGGTCGATGGTATGATGATTGACGCCGTTGAGCATGGGAGAAAGGAGGAAGTAGCGGTCTTAGGAAGTTTGATCCAGGTAGGGAATCGCAATGTTGAAGATCCTAGAGTATTTAGGGAAATGGAGTACCACTATCCCTACCTGGACAGCCCGGCCCTAAAGTTTTAGTGAGAGATGGTGGCGCGAAAAGGCTAAGCCCCACCTTTGAAGAAGGAGTGGCAAACATGAGTCACTCCACCTGCACAAGGATGACACGCACTTACCGCAGGCCCTCTTAAGTGAGGCTCAAAAAGGCTCGCAATTGTTATATAATTTACTTGTTCCCTTTTCCTTAACACAGTGCAGAGTCTTCATTCGCATGTGTCTGCCTTCTTCTTTGGGCTAAGCCAAGCCAGCCATCGGGGCACATCTTCATATTCAATGGTTTTTCCTAGTTCATACTTGTTCTTGTCTTCAGCCCTATTTTTTTCTATGGTGGATTCATTTTTTTTCGATCTATTCACGTCGCTTCGCGACGGTAACCGCCCGCGCCGCATGGAAGGGGCCAATATTTCCACCGAACATAGCCCCGGAAGTGCCCCCCCCCTCCCCAACGTGGCCGAGCATAGATTCCATGTTTCGAGATAGGGATTTAACATGGCCCAACGTGTCAGGCAATATGAAAGCTATGTTTGGCCACGTTAGGGGGTGTTTTATATTCCAGCTTACGACGTTCAAGTCCCTATCTCGCAGACACTACCTTTAGACAGTGACTTCTAGGGCTATGTTAGGCAATATCTTCGCTCTATTCCAGTCCCTTTTGAGCCTTCGTTGGGCCATGCTTACGACGTTCAAGTACCTATCTCGGGGAAGCATACTTGAGATAGTG